TGAGCTGATGAGCTCAGTGAGGGAACTGGACCCTTGGAAAACTGTTTGGTTCTAATCATTGCCCTACTGCTGCTTCTGTGAATTCCCCCTCCCCAGCCTCCTTACTGTGGTGTTGCAAGGAGGTCTGGCTGTGTTCCTAATGGTGAACTGCTTATCCCTCAGGAGAAAGAATTACCTACCCTACAGCAAGAACTGATGGACACCAAACAAGCACTGGCCAATGCCAACCAGGACAAAGAGAAACTTCTCCAGGAGATTAGGAAATACAACCCTCTCTTTGAGCTCTGACAGCAGCTCAGCCATCTGTGCCAAGGAGAGAAGAAAGATATCACCAGCAACAGCACCACCTAGGACAGCGGTGCCGAGGAGCCAGCAGGGCCAGGGGGCACCCAGGTCACTCTCTGTGTGCTTCCTGCTGGCTGCTAGCCTTGTGGGGGACAAGGAGAGCATGGCTGCATCCAGGAACTGGGATAGCTATGTACCTGGCCCTGCACCTTATCTTGCCATTAGGTAGCCTTGTAGCCCTCTGCATACTAGAGGAATCCTCTCTACACTGTAGAGCATTTCACCTCCTGGTTTCATGGCAGTGGTGTTTGCTTCTTTATGGCCTGTGTGAACAAGTGTCCACCTGAGTCATGCACACAGCCACCTAAGATCCCATGACCCAGTGCTTCCGATGGCATACCTGAAGTCCTTGGCCTGAGTTTTGGAGTAGATCAGGAAATAGCCCAGCCTTGGGTTAGGGCAGAGGAGGCCTGAGGTCAGGGAGCCATGGACTGTCCATCCTGGAACGGGGGCTAGGCTCATACCATCTTGGCCAATAGCCTTGGGTCCCGTTTCTTTTCTGTTGAATTTCTTCATTGTGATGCTTTGACTGTGACTCACCTAGATTGTCTTTCCCGGCACAGTAATTGGTTTGAGATTTAAATCAAGAGAAATAGTGCTTGGCTGAGGGCATGAGGAGGCAGGGGTACAGTTCTGCCTGTTTCTACAGCTGTACCTGACTATCTTCTTTCTATACTAGGAGTCCCTGGGCTCCTGCTTTCCCAGCACTATGTCTTTCTGCCTTTGCTAACTTCAACACTTGGTAGTTTGGGAGATAAACATGTGCTCTAAACTTAGGCGTAAACACCTCAGTATGCTGCCTCACTCCCTGTTACTATGGCTTTTTAAAATCATGTGATTTCAACTTAAGTAAATCTAGCTAGGCTTCCTCCTGTCCCTGTGAAAGAGCACAGCTCGGTGCTGTCTCCAAGTAGTGCTGGCCAAACAGAAGCATCACTAACTCACCTACAGGACAAGATGGTTGGTTGTGAGCCAGGTGATGCCTGTGGCTGGGGGGAGGGAAGGAAAAGCACCACCCTGTGTTTTGAGGGTAAACGAAAAATATTTATGAAAGAAGGAGGTTGCATTCGTTCAAACTTGCAGGACTCAGTCATGTTCTTCACCAAGGCAAATTTTTAAACACCAGTTCTTACAGGATTGTGGTTTGTTACACTGAGGAGATAGATTACACACTTGGGAACACCATCTGGAGACACTGTTAGCAGGTGAAGTTCCCTTGTTTCAGATTTTTATAAATGACCTAGAACTTTAAATGCAGTTAAATGTTGCTGCTTGTAGACACTGAAAAGCAGGCCAGAAGAGAGAAACACAGCCATAGAAAAGTCACAGTGAGCAGGGTTGTGAATATGAAACATGACCAGTGAAGTTCAGCACAGGAAGGCCTGGGATGTGGCTCAGTGGTAGCATTTGAGAGGACCCGGACTCACCCCAGCATTAGAAACACAACAAAAATAAAGATTATGTATATTTTAACTACTACCACTAAAAAATGAGAAAAGAATCCAGAGCCTCCTTAGGGAGGAGGGACTATTGTGGTGCTGTGCCTGGCTGTGCTCCCAACATCATTAGGAAGGCACTCCTGGCTGGCAAGAGCAGCGTCTCAGAACTGTGACTTCATCCAACCACTGGGCATTTCTATTGGCTTTATTTATCTAGGACATAGAGAAGGGAACGGAGGTTCAGAGAACAGGGAGAACGATTGGGGATGTGCAATGAAAGCGGAGACTGTTCTCAGAGATGAAAGTGGAGGGGAGCAGATGACCACACACAGTCAAGAGTAGGAGGAACCCAATCTTGAAACACTAGTTTTAGGGCTCTGTCACTGCCTCAGGGAAAAGAAAGCACTTTTAATAAAGTCAGAAACTTGAAGAGCTTGTTTGAGAAGTGGCATCTGTGTTTCTAAGATTCTTAGAGGGAAAGGGAGAGCCAGTCACTAGAAAATAGAATCATAGATCAGGGTCACTTGAATTGGTGTAAAATCACATCCCTCCATGAGAAGATGTCTAGCAAACACTCGGCGTGCTTCTCCTTCAGGCTTGCAGTAGAAACATATTTTGTCAAGGATAATGCCTTGATGGTCAGAATGTCAGGTTTCTGAGCTGAGGGGCTCTGGGGTTCTTGTCCATGTGCAAATGGAGACATAGTTTTGGCTTATGTGGTGGCTTTGGCCTTTGTGTCTGGGAGTCATCCCTCAGAAAAGATGGTAAAATTATTTTCCATGGGATCTCGATGTCATCTTTTGTAATTCAATTCCCTTCTTCATTGGGGGATAAACAAGAGAAACTGTCATAATGAGATGTGAACTGGCTGTGTGAATCTTCAGGATAAGGGTAAAAGAATAGAATGGAGAGCAGGGCAGTTCTTTGGGAGTTTTGCTGTGAAGCTGGGATTTGTAACATGAAATAATACCTCAAGAAAACTTCTGGAGGGACAGCAGCACTGTCCCTCAGAGACTGCAGCCACTGCACATTGCCCTCTCAGCTGTAAAGCACTTACTGCAGCTGCGTCATCTGGGATTGCCTCGAGTTCCTGTTTACATGCATGTACTGGGAATATGTGTTGGTGTGTGTAGACTAGATCTAGTCCTCTAACCGGGCTGCAGATGGCTGTCAGTGTCTACTTCAGTGAATAAGACTGAGTCTCTGATGGAAAGCCAACATGGGTTCTCTTCCCCTACGAGCTGTTTTTACTGTGTATTTCCTCTGACCCTTGCTGTGCCATGGGCCATAATCTTCATGTTTCTGTGCTCTGAAGGAATGGTACCTGTGTATGAAATAGAAAGGGATGATACCACATCTCACAGACCCTATAACTCAAATGTTTGCTGTGAATTTATGTTAGTTTTCCCTTAAGGGCTCGAGAGATTGAGCACTGCAAAGAAGGTAGTGTGAGTTCTCCTGGGCGGGAACTTTCTATTCCAAACTCCTTTCATCTTTATGCCTAAATTTCTAACATCAGTGACATCAAAGCCACAAAATTGAAAACAGATATTTACTACCTAAGCTAGTAGAGTAACATCTGGTTGAGAGCTATGACAGCTGTGACTTAAGTGACTAACTCTTAGAGATTCAGAGGCCACACATGGGAGACTTGGGGCCTTTCCATTTCCCCAGGGTAGGTATGGAGAACGGCTGTTAATGAAGAGGCACTTGCCCCATGGCACAGGGAAGTACTCTTACTGTTAACAGTGAGGCCTTTCTAAGTGGCCAGACTTGGGATTTGAGCTTCCTGTCCTGTTATTATATTCCTGCCTTATCCGGTATCCTTTATCGAAATAGGAGTAGTTCCTACATGTTAAGATGTCCTATTCGAGTTGAGAGGGAATTTTTTTTTTGTCAGTTTACTAGTTTTTTGGTCAATATTTAGCCTGAATCTTACAGCACTCTTTGTGGAGTGCTCCACTGAAGTGTCTTCTGCTTTGGCTAAACTGATGAATTTTAATGTAAGTTACTAAAAGATCTGTCTAATTACGTGAGTCTGAGCTATTTCCCTAACTCAGGGTGCTAAAAACAAGACTTGCTCAGGAAAGCTTCAGAAGAGAACAGCTTCCAACCCTTCTTCCTGTTACACTCAACAGTGGATGGGAAGCAGGTCAGTGGATTGCCAATTATATCAGGTAGCCTTACTACTGCTAATCACTGTCAATAAAGTCACTTCATTCTCTGAGGAAAGCAGTGAGGATGTATACAATGAACTGGAATCCTAGTCAGTATTGGGGAATTTTAATGTTGCAATATCTAATCAAACTCTGAGTGTACTGGTTCTGTGAACCACCTGAAAAGCAAATTAAAAAATACTATTAAACAGTATTGGTCCTCGTATATCTGTTCATAGGAGCTGAAGTAGATAAGCTTTCACATTGTTTTTGTTTTGTTAAGATAGGTTATTTTTGCTTTGTACCCATTTGGCCTCAAACACATGATTCTCCTGGGATTTACATGGCTGTAAACAGTGCTGGATGCTGGGAATATGCCTAGGTTATTTTAATGCTTGCCTAGTATGTGTGGAGACCCTGAGTCCAATTTCCAGCACTGTATAAACCGAGTATGGTGGCACACACCTGTAATCCTAGTCCTGGGGAGGTAAAGACAGGAAGACCATAAGTTCAGGTTATTTCTTTGACTACATACATACTCATTTTTAGTTGTTTTTGTATATGTGTGTGAACATATGTCCATGCCTGTGAAGGCCAGAAGAGGTACTGCATCCTCTAGTGCTGGAGTTACGGGAAGTGGTGAGTGTCCTGATGGGGCTGGGAACTGAACCTGGATCCTCTGTTCTGAACTGCTCCAGGCCCAAGGCTAAGGTTCTTGCTTGTTTCTTTTCAGGAAAAAGGGCCAGGTGTGACCACGTCAGACTCGGGAGCCACAGGCAGGCCAGCCTAGTTTACATAGGGAGTTCTAGACCAGCCAGGGCCACAAAGTGAGACCCTGTTTCAAAACTAGATTTTTTTTTTCATGAAAAGACCAAGACTAGTGCCAGGCTCTAGTAGTGGCATTCTGTGAGCTTGAGGCCAGCCTGCTCTACATAGTGAGTTCCAGGACAGCCAGAGCTACAGAGTGAGACCCTGTTTAAAAAAACCAACCAATCAGCACTCGGGAGGCAGAGGCAGAGGCAGGTGGTGAAACCCTGTCTCCAAAAACCAAAAAGAAAAAGCCAAGACTAGTTAGCTTTATTTAGACACTGGAAGGATGATGAATTTTGCCTGCAACAAAATAAAATAAACTTTTCCACCCAAGTCAGAAAAGTTTAGTGATAACTCACAAAATCCACAGGAGAATCTGAAATGTTAACAGCATGAAGTATTTCACCCTTGTGACTGTCTTCATGGCAGACGATCCCAAGTGCAGTTCTGAAAACCAGAGGTAAGAAACAACCTGCGTCTGAGCAACTTTAGGCTCCAAAGTGAAACCACCAGAGTTGTCTGTCTTTCTGGTGTGCCGATACATTAAAATCACCGTCAGGTTCTTGGAGCACCGACAGCAGAGCACCAGTGCGGAAGCCCGACTACGACAAGTCTGGACCACTCTCGGGTCAGATCTAGAAGAAGATGATTTTCTTGTGCTTAGAGTTGGGGATCTGCCCCTTGGACTTCAGCCTCCGAACAGCCTCCCGCATGTGCTTGGGCTGCAGGGGTGGCATTTCTCCCCACTTCTCACACACATCCAGGGCTGGCGTGGGGAAAGGAGACAGCATCGTTAACATGAGATTTACTAATCATAACTCAAGTTATAATTCTGGCTTTTGTGAAACTCGCCAAAGAAACAAACCAAGATGTTTTTTCTTAAGAAAATGTTATAAAGTCTGTCACACTGGCTTTAGTTATACCCCGCAGGGACTGTATCACAGCTTAAGGAAAGAAAACAACATCACAAGCTAGAGATGAGCATTGAGAATTAGCAAGGCTTTCTACTTGATGGAGGGAAAGCTCTCAGCGGGGGTACCGCTATCAGGGTATTGTCGTCTTACACTGAACAGCAGAAGCAAGGTCTGCTAAGGAAACATACATAACTGTCTTGGTCACCCTGGGCTAAGGAGAGGGAGTTCCTAGATGGTCTCATCCCCATCCCCCAACCCTGCCCACCACTCAGTGATAAAAATTACAAGAGTAGCCATGCTGTCCTCAAGACAGGGCTCCCTATAGGATCAACTTCTAGTGTGGCTGGAAACTCACACAGACCCTTAAATGCCCTGGTGTAGATACTCTAGAGAGTAAGATCCTCACGAGCGTAATACATGTTGTGTAGCCAATGACACTTACCTTCTTCTACTACCTCGCCCACAAAAACTTTAGAAATACCCGACATGGCAATCACAACATTCTGGGACACAGAGGTACCAGTGATGGACTGGATCAGCTTGGGAGAAAGAAAGAAAGACTGTGTTAAGATAGTCAGTAGCTGGCTTTGGAATGTAGTGCAGTTAAGTGGTGCATGCCATACTGAAGGCTGTGTGCTAAAACAGACTATTAGAGTAAGATGTCTGCTGCTCTTTCAGAGGACTACAGTTCAGTTCCCAGCACTCATACTGGGTGGCTCACAACCACCTGTAACTCTAGTGAAGGGTATCTGATGCCCTTTTTTGGCTTTCATGGGCACCCACACACATATATTTATAGATATATCAATAAAAAACAAAAAGGAAAACAATAAAAAACCAAAACCCCAAGGATTGTGTGTTGTGGCTGGCTACACATGGCATACAAGGTTGGAGTTGGCCAGAGGATGAGAGAGGTGTGGAGTCCGGCATCTTCCTAATGGGGGGGGGGGGGCACGCTGGGGCAGTCCATCCTTACCCTTTTAATGGCTGCCTTAGGGAAAGCTGACCGGCGATACATTTCATAACGGTTCAGCTGCTCCTCAGAAAAAGAAGAGACCAGGATTCTAGACAAAGATTAAGTTGGTTAATGAGAATGAATACTAAAGGCACATAAATCAACAAAAGCAAGCTCTGGACAAAAAAAAATGTGTTTCAAGGAGTCACTGGCTTTAGGCCTAGTGCTCTTGAGGAATGGCATTTCTACTGCTAAGGAACTCTGGAAAGAGAAAAGGAAACACAATTTCCTTTCCTTAGAGACAAAAGCTGCTGGGTGTGGTGGTGCATGCCTGCCCAGGAGTGGGAGCCCATCTTGCTCCTCCTAAAAGACATCGTAATAGGACAAAATCTGTATTCTGTGCTGACTGTATTTCACACTGACAGTAAACCTCTAATACAGAATTTCTGTTCAAATCAGGGCTCTTCAATAGTAACAAGATTAGAGCGAAATATTAAAAATATGTATATTCTTTAGAAAATTTTTGAGACATGATATACCTCAGGCTAGCCTCAGACTTGATGTTATCAAGAATAAACTTGAACTTTTGATCCTCCTGGCCCCACCTTCCAGAGGGTGGGATTACAGATGTGCCACCACATCTGGTTTTACTCAGTGCTGGATCAATCACAGGGCTTCTTGCATGCTCTGCAATCTACAACAGCCTCAGCCCTAATATTTCAAATTATTGAATCTATTTGCTATGCCTGTGTGGTGTATGTATGTGTGGGGAACATGAAAGACAACTTGAAGTAAGCAGTTCTCTCCTTCCATCGTGTAGGTCAAGGGTCAAACTCAGGTTGTTGGGCTTGATGGTAAGTGCCCTACCTGCCAGGCCCCATCTTTTCTGTTTCTTTTCTCTTTTTTTTAAACTTATCTATGTGAGTATGTTTGCTTGTGTGTGTCTATCTGTGCACATGTGTGTGCAGGTGTCCATGGAAGCCAGAAGGGAGTGCCAGATCCTTCGAACGAGTTACAAGCAGCTTGAGATGAGTGCTGAGACCTTACTGGTCTTGTTAGTGCAGATGGCTCCTAACCTCTGAGCAGTCTCTCTAGCCCCCTATATTCTTTATAGTTAATTCTTTAAATAAATAAAAAGATGGCCAAACCAGTTTTAGAAGATGCACTAAGGACTTAAATAGGAAATTCACAGAAATACCAATGGCCAATCAAGATGGAGAAAAAAAAAAATGAACCTTAAGTATTAATCAAGGAACTTGAAGTTATCAACTAAAACAAGATCACAATTTTCATAAATCTGGAGATATGCTGAAAAGCCTTTGAAACGTGTTATACTAGCACTTATACAGCTGGTTTATCTTAGAAATGGATGAGATGGAGAGATATGTCCAAAGATGTAACAGTGTTGTTAAAACAAACACAAAATGTTAAAACTCTACTCAGAATAGGTAAAGGGTTGATAGATAGATCACGTAGATAAGATGCAACACAACCAGGAAACACTGATACTTATGAGAATATCACGTGCACAAATAGACCCAGATATACACTCTTGGAATAGGATCTAGCTGCTGGATTTGGGGCATTTTACTTTTTTTTGGTATTCTGAGTTATTTGCAATGAGCCCATATTATTGCAATCACAAAATAAAATCGAGCTTCTTGAAGAAAATGACGACTTTGGTATATAATTAATAACTGATGGGAAACATTGACCAAATGTAATGTTAAAAACAAAGCATTTTTAAACAAATTATTTAATATCCTTACATTTATGCATTTATTTTGTGTATGTGTAGGGGTGTGCCTATGGAGGTTATAGGACAATTTCTAGTCTCTCTTCCCACCATGTGATTTTCCAGGATCAAACTTGGGTCATAAGGCTTGGTGGCAAGCACCTTTAACTGGTAGCTTGCTGGCTTGAAATTATATCTAGGCTTAGTGGCTCATGCCTGTAATCTCAGCACTAAGGAGGCTGAGGCAGGAGGATCAGGAGGTCAAGACTAACTTAAACCTCATGAGACCCTATCTCAAAACAAACAAAAAGCAAGTAAGAGTGAGTGTATAGAGCTGAGTTAGGACCTTGAAATGGAACAGTTAGAAGAGACTCACTGCATCTTCTGAATCTCATCTTCGTCCACTTTCTGTTTCTTTTCTCTCTTCTCTTTGGTGTCCAGTTTCAGCTTTTTGGCTGCAGGAGTAAGTAATGACGAGTCTTCCCTCTCCACTGTTGTTAAATCGGAGACATCCTGACTCTTGAGCTGGGAAGATGGACAGAAACTTTGACTACATATTTGGTACACTTTTCAGGTTTGGGCAGAGTCAGCAAATGCCCTGCTCTTTCCAGCTAGGAAATCTGTTTATGCAGTAGCTGTCTGCTTCTAGGCACTGCCTATACCATCAGCATTAAGAGGCCGCCTATCTCCCAAAGGAAGATTATAGCCTAGCTGGAGAAGAAAATCAATAATACACTTTTCCAGCTGAGCCATGGTCACATAGAGGTCCTGTATCTGTTTACCAAGGTAAGGGAGAAATGCCAAAGAGCCAAATTACCACACCCTCACCCTCCAGATGCCAGCAGTGCTCAATCCACAGCATTTGTGCCTGGGGAGCACCACTGCCTGCAGTGTTCTAACCCTTCCTGCTACTAGAAACAGTCTACATGGTCCTGGCTGTCCTGGAACTCACTCTGTAGACCAGGTGGGCCTCACAGAAAGCCGCCTGCCTCTGCTCCCGAGTGCTGGGATTAAAGGGCTGGGCATCACACCCAGTTTGGAACAACCCCCCCCTTTTTTTTGTAATTAAGACTTTCAAAGTCTCATTTTGTATCCTAGGCTGGTGGCTCAACACTCCCTGGTCTCCAAATTGTGGAAATTGCCCTTCCTCAGGCTCCTTGCTATGGTTATAGACTTGTACCACCACACTGAATTTAAACTAAAAACAGAGGTGGCTCAGAGGTCAAGAGCATTGGCTGCTCTTGCAGAGGACCTATGTTCTATGACCAACACTCACATGACAGCTCACAGTCATCTGTAACTCCAGTTTCAGGGGATCTGATGTTGCCTTCTGACTTCCACAGGGACCAGACACATACATGGCAAACATATATACACAAAGGCAAAACATCCATACAATAAGAAAATTTAAAAAGCCCAAACTTAAATTACGCACACTCATGCATAGTATGTGTGGACTTGCAAATGTTGATCACAGGGCAACTTTGTGGAGTTGGTGTTCCTCTACCTTTATTTGGGTTCTGGGGATCACACTCCAGTTCCCAGGGATTCATGGCAAGCACCTTTACCTGCTGAGCCATTTTGATTGTCCTACACTAAAATCTTTTTAAAGATGTTTATTATTTACATTTCTCCACATAAGCACTCATCAGTTTTACTCATGACATGTAATCCAAACTCTGTTCCGACCAACGTACTATGGAATCTTTGTACATCAAAACTCATTAATGAGATATAATGGTTCCTTTAAAAAGGGATTCATATTTAAACTCATTCAGAAATTCGGAGAGGGGGACTGAAGGCATTATATATCTAGCAATCCTTTCAACTCTTTTAGCTATCGATTTATACACATTTTCTAACCTTTGTGCTTCAGATTTTCAAATTTATTTGTCCTTAACTTTCCTTCTTTCCCCTCTTCCTTTCTCTCCCTTCTTCTCCTCCCCTCTTTTTTGAGGGAGTTGGGGTAGAAGCAGGTCTCATTTTGTAGCTCATGAAGTCCTGGAATTTATTCCTTCTACGTCAGCTGCTTGCATGGGACATTCAGCTTAAAAATTTTCTTCTGGAAAGTTTTGCTGCTGAACTGTGACAGGGGGGTCACAAGCTCAAGGCCAGCCTGTGTTAGGGAGATGCTCCTCATAAAGAGGACAGCAAAATCCCATCAAGTTTCGCTACGTTTTCTTTTTCCTAAAAGTCATTACTTCAAAACGTTCTGAAGTGGCAGTTGCGCTTGGAAAGCCCATTTCCATCTTTTCTACTGTTCACTCCATGATTTTCTCAAAGCCAATTCCAGCTCTAAAACTTCGAGATTTTATCTGCAGAAATGGAACCTAAAGAACACTTGAGGTTCAACTAGGCAACAATGCTTAGCTTTTGAAGTGGCACAGTCGATGGTGTTAATGAGGTTCCGAGACCCCTGGAATTCAGCAGCCAAGACACTGGTTCAATGTACAATGAAGGTAAGGACAGACTGAACGCGGTGCTTGGCCCCTGGAACCGAAGCAGCACCTTCACGTCCACGTCCTCTCCCCTGCCCAGCAAGGTTGCAGACTTAACAATGACTCGTGGTGAGTTCTAGTTCTTCTAGCTCTCCAGGAAGCAGACGGTAACGCGACCGGGTACTCCTCCAGCCTTACCCACAAAGTTCTACCTACCTCGCTTTCCTCCGCCGCGGCTTCTTTCACGTCTGCGTCTCCATCTCCGTCGGTTTCCTCTGGGATTCCCTCAGTGTCGGCGGCCGCCGGGACCCCAGGAGTAGCCCTCATCTCCTCTGACTCCGCTGGCTCTCCGCCTTTGTCTGTGGGCGACTCCCCAGGGTTGTCCATCGCGGCAGAAGCTGGACAGAGGCGATGGCAGCGCTGCCAGGTGAAGGAGCGAGAGACGACTAGCCATACAGCGGAGCCGGGGCGTACGGTTTGTCGTCGCGCCGCGATGACGTCATCCCCACTGCTCCTCGGAAGGGTCAGTTTCAGAAGCGCGTTGCTAGCTCAGGGGACCCACTTAAAGTTGAGTTTGTTTTCACGAGAAAGAAATTTAGAAGTGTGGATCTTCCGCTTCAGGGAAGAAGCGTTTTTGAAAGAGCGTACATTCGTTTGCTGAGAGACTTCTTATTCTTCTCATTTCTGGAAATGCAATGACAATTAATCCTTTAACTTGACTCCTTCAGAGCAAAGTTGGGGAACCGGAGAAAACGCAGTCTCGCTGCTTGGTGGCGTCAAGGAATAGTGCTGCCTTGGACTGAACAACTTCCGGCAGGGACCCAACCTCGTAATTTTCGAAAGAACCGAGACCGTGGGCTTGTGTTCACCAGGGAATTGCTAGGGCTTCCTCTCTGTTCCGCAAGAATCTCTAACTCCAGCAGAATATTTCCAATGCTCTCATTCAACGCCTCAATTATTGGTAACCTGGCTTGAGTCAGTCGCCCACCAATACCCAAAATCGGGACTGGTTTTCCAAATCTGATTTAAAAAATATGTTTGGTTAATCTCACGACAGCTAAGAGAGAGGTCTCTTCTGACCGTTTCACTGAAGCTGCTTAGGATGGAGTGCGAGGAAAAACTTCTTTTTTCTTCTAAATTATTTCATATGTATGGGTGTTTTGGCTGCATGTATGACTGTGCACCACATGCGTTCATGGTACCCTGGGAGGCCAGAAGAGGGTGTCGGATCCTCTGGAACTGGAGTTAACAGACTGTGTTGTGAGGCGCCATGTGGGTGACGGGAATCAAATCCAAGTTCTCTGAAAGAGCAACCTGTGCTCTTAACCCCCGCACCATCTCTCCAGCCACTCCCGTCCCGTCCCCCACCACCTTTTTTTTTTTGTTTTTGAGACAGGATCTCACTGTGTAGCCTTGGCCGGCCTAGAACTTGCTATGCAGCTCAGGCTGGCCTTAAACTCACAGAGGTACACCTGCTTCTGCCTCCCGAGAGATGGGATGGCATGTGCCACCACGCCCAGCGATTTTACATCTCTTCGGTCTTCCCTCAAGGAGGCACCAGAGGGCGGGATTCTTCATGTCTGGTTCTAGGTCTCCGCGCCTTTTCCGTGTTTGATCTGAGTCTTGAATGGAACTGAAAACATACGTGCGCGTTACCAAATTTCTCTTTTGTTCCTACAGTGCCTGAACAAATTACCGTATTTCCAGGCCCATGAGGTACCAAACCTTTGGGAAGGCGAGCACGTCAGGAGCTTCCCACAGGTGTGCCGCGCGTGTTCTCTCCCACCTGTTGAATGGGCCGGTGCGCCGGCCGTGGACCGGGTCTCCGCAAGGCTCCGCTCTGCCCGGCTCGGCTTGGCTCAGTCACCTGCACGGCGGCGCGAGCCCCGCCCACTAGGTGGGCAAGGAGGCGGGGCGCGGGGGCGCGGTGACGCGTGACGCCGGATCCCGGAAGTGACGCGCCGCGGGGGGGGGGAGGCTAAGGAGGCGGGGGGGGGGGGGTGTAGAGGGGGTGGCGTCCCCGGCCGGTTTGAGGGGTGCGTTGCCCGGAGACGGAAAGTTTGGGAGCCGCAGCAGGCTTTTGCGTGGCCCCGGGTGGGGGGTCCGAGGAGTGGCGGTCCTGGGGATGGGGAAGGAGCAGGAGCTGCTGGAGGCGGCCCGCACCGGGCACCTCCCGGCCGTGGAGAAGCTGCTGTCCGGGAAGCGGCTCTCCTCCGGCTTCGGCGGCGGCGGCGGCGGCTCCAGCGGCGGCGGCGGCGGCTCCGGGGGCGGCGGCCTCGGTTCTTCCAGCCACCCGCTTTCCAGTCTGCTGAGGTGAGTGCGCGCGGCGCGGCGCGGCGCGGCTCGCAGCCTGGACGGCGCGGGCTCCCTCGAGGGGTCGCGGCTCCGGAGGCGCGCGCGGCGCAGGCCAGGCTCTCGCGTCTGGCGTCGCCGCTGCGGAGAATGGGGGGAGTGCCCAGGTGGCAGCCCGCGCCTCATGGCACAGCCCGGCGTCACCCTCGCCCGCCGTGGGGTGCCAGCTGTCGCTTCTCACAAAAGCCACTTCAGAGCAGACCGAATTCGCGGAATCCCTCTCACATCCTGCAGCAACTCCCACGCCGTGCAGAGCCTCGCGACTCCCCTGGAGCACATTTCTCCTCATTTCCTTCTCTTAGGAACTTGGAACGTTCCACCGGGCTGTGCGGGACCCGGCTTTTGTTTGTTTTTAAAATTGCTTCTGCATTGATCGCGCACGAGGTGTTCAGTCTTTGAGCCTCTCTTGTGCTTGAAGCTCAATTTGTCGTCAGTTTCCTTGTAGTCACTCTCGCTGGGTTCGTCCAAGTGGCATATGCTCATTTCTCCCGGGGACTTACTCGATAAGGTTTGGGAAGACTTGTTTAGGAAACTGACGTGCGTTCAACTTTCTCAGATCTGTTAGACACTTGAATCCGGGGCTGCAAGGCTTGGGGGGGGTGGTGGTGGTGGTGGTGGTGGTGGTGGTCACTCTTTGTCGCTTACAAGGGGGATTGGAATGCTTTGTCAGAGTGCATAAAATGTGTTGGTTCAGCAGCGCTTTCGTAGCTGTTTTCTTTTCCTTCCTTGTTCTTTTGAGGTTTTTAAGAAGTGGAAGTTCATTTAGAAGTGGCTTCGTTAGCTTCCGTTCCCTATTAGTTTATGTACCTTCAGTTTGAGTCTGCTTGGAGAGCTTGGACCAAAGAAACCCAAGACTCTAATAAACAGGTATTCAGTACTGAGTACTGATCCACATCTTCTCAGGAAGATTTTAAAAAACACTACAGAAGAACTTTCCCCTTCCTTTGGGGAAGAAAAACCTCATTCTGTTGGCTGCTATTTCTCTAGTCCCTTGAACAGTACTGGCTCATAGTAGCTACTCAAGATTTGTTGAATAGATTGAAGTACTGATTGGAGAATGATCATTGTGTGTGTGCGCGCGCGCGTGATGGAGGCTAGAACTTGACATTGGGTGTCTTCCTCAATTGCTCACCATCTTCTTTCTTTGAGACTGTGTCCCTCACCAAACCTGGAGTTTGCTGATTGTGCTAGACTGGCTGGCCAGTGAGTTCCCGGGGATTCCCCCTGCCTCTGCCTTCCCAGTACTAGGGTTACAGGCGCATACAGCCATCCTTTAAACATGGGTGCTAGGGATCAAATCCAGGGGCTCCTGTTTGCTGAACAAGCTCTTTACAGACTGCGCCGTCTCCTTTGGGGATCATCCATCTCTAAATAAAGTGTTGGTGGTCCACACTGTAAGCGGTTGGTACTTGAGAGTATGGATATCACTTTGGGATAGGTTGGGAGGCAGAGCCTCAGGGGAAGGTGTACTTAGGCTGACTTTGACAGGTCATACATAGTGAGAATGTTCCAGGTAAGCACACCCTGCTCAGAGGCACAGAAAGGAGACTTACTTGGTGTTTGTGGGCTATTCAGGGAACTTCCTGCTTGGCATCTTGAGTAATTGGGCCCCTTGAAGGTAAATAAGAATGGATTGGTACACTGTTGCCTCTCATATTGACAGTCTTCCTCACACTTATGTTCTCAGTCCCTATATTAGTGCCTGGAGACAGAGTCACAGATTGTCCTAGTTAGGGTTACTGTTGCTGTGATGAACACCATGACCAAACGCAACTTGGGGAGGAAAGAGTTTATTTAATGGCTTACACTTCCGCATAGTAGTCCATCACTGAAGGAAGTCAGGATAGGAAATCATACAGGGCAGGAACATGGAGGCAGGAGCTGATGTGGGTGGAGCCATGGCGGAGTGCTGCTTACTGGCTTACTCCTCATGGCTTGCTCAGCCTGCTTTCTTATAGAACCCAGGACCACCAGCCCAGGATGGCACCACCCACAGTGGGCTGGGCCTTGCCTCATCAATCACTAAGAATATGGCCCACAGCAGGGCAGCGGCGGTGCACACCTTTAATCCCAGCACTCCAGAGGCAGAGCCAGGCAGATCTCTGTGAGTTTGACGCCAGCCTGGTCTACAGAGCGAGATCCAGGACAGTCACCAAAACTACACAGAGAAACCCTGTCTGGAAAAAAAAAAGAATATGCCCCACAGTCAGATCTTATGGGGGCGTTTTCTCAATCAAGGTTCCCTCCTTTCAGATGATTCTAGTTTGTCAAGTTGGCAGAAACTAGCCAGTACACAGGTGCTCAGCAAATAAACATTGAATGCATTTTTCCCTTCCTCCCTTCCTTCCTTCCTTCCTTCCTTCCTTCCTTCCTTCCTTCCTTCCTTCCTTCCTTCCTTCTTTCCTTCCTTCCTTCCTCCACCTCTTTCTTCTTCTCCTCCTCCTCCTCCTCCTCCTTCTTTTAACAGTGCCTCACTATGTGGCCTTGGCTAGCCTGGAAATTGTTATGTAGGCCAGGCTGGCCTTTAACTAGCAGATACCTGCCTGCCTCTGCCTCCCAAGTACTGGGATTAAAAATATGCACCACCAGACCTAGTTTTTAATTCCATCTGTACTGTTTTGGCATCCTGCAGTTTTGATATCTGAGAGGTACGGGAAAACTACACGAGTTTGGAAGTCGCTCTAATGAACTGATGATGTAGGACTTGGGGATTTGCCAGGAATGCCTTAACGCCCAGACTCTTCTGCTGGAAGAGTATAGACTCTCATACATCTTCTGCCCTCAAATACAGGTCAAGTTCTTCTTGGTGTTCCCTCAGAGGCGGATGAAACGTTGCTGAGCTCTAGCTGCCATGTAGTTATCATGACAGTGGTTTTACTTTGGTTTTCCTGATGGTGTTTCCAGTTTCTGCCATAGAACTATGAGTGGTGTCTCCTTTTCCTGGAGTCACGAAACTGCGGGACTCTTCATTGGCTCCCGTGTCTGGTAGCGGCTGCAGATGTCTATAAGCTTCCTGTTCTCCCACTCCTGTGACTCTTAGAGGCAGGGAGGACATTTAGACCCTTGTTACACCGGGTGTGTCATTAATTAGGGATGACTCTGGTTAACCTATAAAAGAGGTTGAGGCCATGCATTTGAATAACCACTAGGTCAGCATGTCCCCTCTGCAGATTTGGAGATGGTGAGATGGAGATGAGTCCCTTACGTATCCAGCCTTTTTCTTGCCAGGAACCCTGAGTTAGTATTGGAAGCTATGGACTCCTAGTTTGGTATCTTGACTTGTGTCCACAGATGTATCCCAGCTCATTAGTACTGCACAGTGTAGCCTAACTTTCTCTCGCAGTTTAAGGAGCTTATGGCTGCAGTGGATATAGTGTTGCAAACACACGTGTGTTTGTTTCCTCATGTATTTATGACCCCACCACCACTGGTCATGCCACAGGTGGTGGTGGTGGTGGTGCTTCTTCTTCTTCTTCTTCTTTTCTTTTCTTTTTCTTTTTCTTTTCTTTTTTTTTTTTTTTTTTGAGACAGGGTTTTTCTGTGTAATTTTGGCGCCTGTCCTGGACCTTGTTCTGTAGACCAGGCTGGCCTCGAACTCACAGAGATCCTCCTGGCTCTGCCTCCCAAGTGCTGGGATTAAAGGTGTGTGCCACACCGCGGCCCAGCTCCACAGAGGTTTTGTATGTATTCTTTGTGTGTGTGTGTGTGTGTGTGTGTGTGTGTGTGTGTGTGTGTGTGCGCGCGCGCATGTGTGTGCATGAGGCTGCATGTATACATATGTGAAAGCCAGGGGTCAACCTTGGATGTCATTATTTTAGGTGCTTGTCTCCCCCCTTTTTCTGTCGGGGCGGGGGAGAGACTGTCTTTCAGAATTCTTCTTGTTTCCTTCTTCACAGCCCTGGATTTACAAGCAGACACCACTACTCCTGGCATTTTTATATGGGTTCTAGGGAGTTCAACTTGGGGCCTCATGCCTGCAGGGCAAGCACTTTATCAGCTGAGCTATCCGTCCAGTCCCTTTTGTATATTCGGAAGTTAGAAAACTCTCCTCTTCTCCTTGCGTGCCTTGTCTCTTATAGAGCATCTTCTACTTGGGTCTTAACCTCGCACAGCTCGTGAGGGCCTCATACACACAGGTCTTGATAGGTTTGGGGGGTATATCCTATAATTTATAGATACAGGTCTGGGGGTTTGGGGGGCACATCCTGTAGTTTATAACCCTTCACTTACCTCCCTTCAGAACTCATCTCTTTGGTCCGTGTGCTGGCTAGTTTTTTTTTTTTTGTCAATTGACACAAGCTAGAGTCACCTGAGAGAAGGGAACCTCAATTGAGAAAAGGCCCCCTGATTGATGTGGGAGGGCCCAGCCCATTGTGAGCAGTGCCCCCTGGATGGTATAAGAAAGCAGGTTGAGCAATCCATATGGAATAAGCCAGTAAGCAGCGCTTCTCCGTGGCTTCTGCTTCAGTTTCTTCCTCCATGCTCCTGCCTCGAGTCCCTGCCCTGACATCCCTCAGCGATCAAGTGTGACCTGAGAGTTCTAAGCTGAAAT